TGATCTTATGATCCGATCAACTACATAATTTTTTTGGTTGTCAGGGGGCTTATGAAGTAAGACCAGATCGAACAAGTCAAATTTTCTGGCAGTTGCCTCATGATTTATGCCTATAAAATATTTTATTGTATAGTTTGATATGTACATGCATGTTTTGAGTCATAAGTACCTTTCTTTGTCAACCAGGCCATTATATCTTTTTTCGAAGATGATTTTGTCGGGGTTTTATCTTCCTGGACGGAATGATATGGAGCATTGTCAAATACTATAACCGAATTGGCAGGTATATTCGGGAGGAGTTTTTCTGTGAGCCAGCGTGTGAAATTTTCCCGATTCATCTGACCGTGGTAATCGCCTGTAGCTAATCCCGCCTTAAATATCAAACAGGCATTGTCAACAAATCCATTTTCTGAACCTGCATGCACTATAATGAGTCGACCTAAAATATACAAGACGATTATATAATATGTTACAAATCAGAGTTAAATTTAACATATATATATAGCATTTTTGCTTACCTGTAGAACCTATACTGCTTATTACACCAGAAACAGTTTCGCTCTGCCAGCATTTTTTGAAAGTCAAGTCATTGTCCACCCAGGTTTCGTCCAAATAAACTATATTGCGCCCTTCTTCACGATATCTACGTATTTCACGGATGTATTTGCACCTCCATTGCAATATATTGGGCCTCTCCATCAAAACTTTTCTTTTATTTTGACATTTGCGCCAAAAAAAACCATTTGATTTTAATAAACTCCTGAGAGTTTCCCTAGAATAGGGGAAATTTGAGTCTTCTCGCAACTTTTGTAATAACTTCCTAGTTGTCGGGACAACTTTATATTCAAGATAAAATCTGTTTATCAAATGTCTAATAATCTGAAAATCAAAATCTTCATCTTTCTCAACAAGAGACTGACGCGGTCTTTTTTTTCCGGGACTGGATAACATTTTATTCGGGTTATTTTCTAGTCTTTCTTTATCTTCGTTATGAATTTTCCTAACAGAAGATACTCCGACTCCGGTATAAAGGGACACCCTATCAAGCTTACGTTTAAGCGGCAACTTGAGGGAATTGTTTGCCGCTTCCTCATCGCAAACCCTATAAATAATCATCAGAATGTTAGCTTAGCATTTCCTTGTTTTTTATTTATATTCAGACTCAGTCGTCAAAAACTACAATTATTGCATATTATTATTACTAACCTATAAACATTCGCAATCACTTCTCTTGTTTGGCTATGAAGCGTCTTTCCGCGATTAAATTGGTTCATTTTAAAAAAATAATACTAAAACGAATAACAATATCAAATAACAAAACACTAAACTATTCAAAAACACACAGCACTAAACATACAAACTTAATAGAACAATAAATACAGGGTGGGGCAAAAGTCACGAAGGGATTTGAAAAATTAATAACTTTTTTAAATTTATTTTGTTTTCATTTTTTTTTTCAGGACCGTGTAAAATAAATCCTGGAGATTAATTATGGAGCGTTACAACCTCAATCAACGAACCAAACTTATAGAATTTTATTTTGAATATCACCATTCAATAATTCAAACTCAACGAGCATATCGTCGTCATTTCAATTTGCGGAATTCGCCCTCTGAATCAATGATTCGACGCTTAGTGGCACGATTTCAGCAACAAGGCACAGTTATGGATCTCCCACGAAGCGGAAGGCCACGTTCCGCAGGAAATGAAGGGAACATTCAACGCGTTCAGGAGAGTGTTCAGGAGAATCCGGAAACCTCAACCCGAAGACGTTCTGCTGAGCTGCAGATGTCTCAAAGGTCTTTACGCAGAATATTAAGAAGAAATTTACATCTGTTTCCATATAAAGTGCAGCTAGTGCAAGAACTAAAACCAGCAGATTTTCAAGAACGACTAACTTACGCAGTTCGCTTGCAAAGAATGGCTCGAGAAGATAATGAATTTATTCATTCTCTGATCATGAGCGATGAAGCCCATTTTCATTTGAATGGCTTCGTAAATAAGCAGAACTGCAGAATATGGGGTACCGAGAACCCAAGGGTGGTTCATCAAAGGCAATTACATCCGCTTAAATGTACAGTATGGTGCGCAGTTACGTCTCAACGAATTATTGGACCATTCTTCTTCGAAGACCACGATGGGAATGCTGTATCTGTAGATGGCGACCGATATCGTGATATGATTCAAAATTTCTTAAGACCAGCTCTTGCTGACAATCAAACGATGACTTTCCAACAAGATGGAGCCACTGCGCATACTGCTCGAGCCACTATGCACCTTCTAAGGCAGATTTTTGGCGAACGTTTAATTTCGAGAAATTCAGGATTCAATTGGCCCGCCCGCTCGCCGGACTTAACAGCCCCTGATTATTTCCTTTGGGGATATCTGAAAGGAAAAGTGTATATTAATAAACCCACAACCCTGCAGCAACTAAAAGATAATATTCGAGCAGAAGTAAGTGCTTTGGGGCCAGATATTCTGACTCGGGTAATGGAAAATGCTCTTGCAAGAGCTGCACTTTGCGAGGCTGAAAATGGCGGTCATTTGCGTGATGTAATCTTTCACACTTAAATTGTAAACAAACTCCAAACATTGCATTTTAGTTTTGTGTTAGGGAAAAAAATTAAAATTAAAATTTAAAAAAGTTATTAATTTTTCAAATCCCTTCGCGACTTTTGCCCCACCCTGTAGTTAACAATAATAGTTGTAAAACTCATACACGGATAAAACCTACGCCACTGGACTTTTCAATAGTATGGATATTCTAAGAAAGGAGCAAAAAATTGTCTGGGACGCTGCCCAATAGGGAGTCGAATTTTCTCATGGCGACAAAACATGTGAGGATATCCGCCAATCAGATTCGTTTAGGCGGTGTCCAATATACCTTTCGGGTGGTTGTTGCCAGCTCAACCGATGTAGATAAGATCTTTGGAAAAATGTTTACTTATAATACGATTCAGTAGTAAAAACTAGTTAGTAAATACAAATAGAGCTAACAACCCATTAAAATTCTCAGTATTTTGAATTAATATTTTTTGGAATTGTGAAAAATCGATTTTCAAATCATTGAAATTACTTTTATTATTATTATTGCTTTTTTGTAGTTAAATTTGGCAATATCGAATATTTTCGGTCGCATTCCTTTCGCTGTTGCAGATCCGTTTGCCAAACTATACTATTGTTTGTTTCAGTTTTTTGTTTTTCCACTGTTCATATTTTTCTCTAAATACGGAGCCCAATCCGCCGTCGCAGCAAGCGCCTCTCATATATGACATATCCACAGACGTCAACGTCATATGGTAGATGGCGGTGGAAATAATGAGGGAAGTAACTGCTAAAAAATACAGTGTTTTGGGAAAAAAAATCCATGAAAAGCGTGCTTCATCCACACTTTTTATGATTTAAAATAATGTCAGACTACCTCTATAAGCTTCAAGTGAAAAAACAGTGAAATCCGAAGTTCTACAAGACGCAGCAGTACCAATTTTACTCTGGAATACTGTGAAACTTTATTTCTAGAACGCCTAAATTATAACAGTCATGTAATGCACTTGATAGCAGCCGACTAATTTCTAACCACGTAACATGTACGTCAAACAATTACGGACGCTAAAATTGTTACAGAGTAGTATAAAGTAAACTCTAACAATTTACAAACGCAGCCCTGTTTAATATATTGCATACTCATTTCAGGTTCAGGACAAGGTTGCCAGGTGGATCAAACGGAATTCCTCCAGAACAAGCACAAAAATCCCCCAGATTTGCATTTTTTATAAGAAAATCCCCCAAATCCTATTTTTGTTGACAGGTTTTTTGTAGTTGACAATAATACCCCAAAAATACCCACCGATTTTATTTTTCCTCCGAAAGTTTCCCCAAGGGGCGTAAAATTACCCATATTTAGGGGAAAATCCTCAATATGGCAACCCTAGCTTAGGACCGCTTTCACTACTCTGCGAATAGTTCTCCTCTCCACGATGCAATTGCTCTAAAATCGCTCCCACACGACGTGGCGAATGCCTTACAACGTTGGATACATGGCCATTCGCCACATCGTTGGGAGAGCGCTGACGGATTGCGTGTGTCCAACGTTCGCCACATGGCACGTTCGGGCTGATGTCGGTAAATTTGAGCCGCGTCAAAGGACGTTACAACGTTGGAAGTATGGTTTGTTATGTTCCCACACGAGATGTCATGTGTTTGATGGTTTTAGGTTAGAACCTGTAGCGGCGAAAAACATTATTTACTTGCTTGCTGAGAGTGTGATGAAGTAGTGGTATGTGGGAAGTATTTTGATTTGAATACCTGTCTATTCATAATAATGTATGTTCCGTAACTAACTTTTGAGGAGAATGAATTAAATTAGTATACATACAAAGCATGCAAATATGTTGTACCTTTCGCAGGTTAAGTTATGGCTGTGCTAAGGATATGTACTTTAGTAAGTTAGAAATTATGAAGTGCTTACAGTTGTTTCATTATAATGTCTTGACTTGCATTTCATAGCTAACGAAAACGATTAAATAAATGCTAATTCTGAAAGAACTATCAGGATTTTGATGAAATTTTAACACTAGATCACCACTATGGAAATGAAAAAGCTTAGCAGTTTTTGAGAAACGGTACAGAGGCGGCGGAGTTATCGTTGAAAAACAAACAAAAAACGGTCAAACCTCGTTTTTCGACATTTCTGAGGATTCTGACAGACTTAAGATTTGGTCGCTGAAGACAGATCTGAAATTATTTTTAGGCGCTCGAAAAAAATGTTTCATCGTTCATTTTGTATAATTTTTCCTTCAGTTGTGAAGGTTCAAGCGCGACGCTGACACCGATAATAGACGTTGGCGCCACCATGCGTCGAATGTCCGAGACTAAAAAGTTCATCCCATCGTAGAGGAGACACACGCCAAATCGTGGGGTGTCGAGCGTTGTACACAACGCTGGAAGCATCGTGTGGGACCCGCATAAACCATAGACACGACAGAACCCCTTCTTTGACATGACAAATGTCAATGTCCCTTCGTCATTAAAATTAAACATCAAACACATGATTATTTTGGCGAACGATGAATCTGGACAAAATAAAAAATATGTAAAAAATAAAAACTGAACAGAACTAGCAGAGATTCTTTTCCAAAATTTGGTTTGATTTATTTTTAATAGTGATATGAACAGATTAGAATAGGCCATTAGTGAGAACGCTAGTTTGATACAAAAACCATTAATATGGAATTCGTAAGTGAAGATAACCCAATTATGCAATGACGTCGTTATAATAAATGAATATAGTAAAGTGTAGCGTAAGAACTTCCATAATTCTTACAGTGATACCTTGCCCAAAAGGCATGTGTAAAGCTAGGGTGAAACATTCAAGATCATTTACTCAATTTGACAAAAAATCATCAATACGTATGGACGACAAACAGGAAACTAACATACAAAATTTTGAAACAGACCCTCCTACAGTGGACGTCCTTCGCGGTGGTGATAGTGACAATCATAACCTACAAAATGTCTATGCGGGAACTCCAATCCAACAGGAAAGTATAGCCATCTATCATCATCCTTGGTTGTTCAATCAGTACCCTTGCAGAGCTGCTGTGGAACACTATTCATATAATTGGCATAGTCTCTACAGTTCTTGGTTGCACCATCTAGCAAATCCAGTACTGTCTCCAGTTAGCAGCTTCTGTGTTCCTCAAAATTCACTTAGACGATATTTTCACAGACCCCATGATGAAGTTATGCGAGTCCCCATCCCAGGTATTGAAGGTAAGCAAGCAATAATAAAATACAATAAATTATTTTACAATGTATTGCTGCTTTTCTAAAAGTTTTGCTTTAGAATTGTTTTTTTTGCTATTTTCATGTTATATTAGCAAAAATACTATAAAATAACCAATGCAGTCATTTTTATATAAGAGTAGGTTTTTTAACTGCTAACAAAGGCTTAAAGAATGTTTTTGAAATATTCTGCATCTGTTGTGATTATGCCCAACTTGAGAAAGTCCTACTCCTCTTTGAAGATATCCAGTTCAATACAGATTTTGTACAGACTCTTTAACCAGTAGACTGCTGGATTATCTCTCACATCTTTCTGACCTATAGGGCTCCAACAAAAAAAAGGAAAATAGCTGATCTTTTGTCAACCAGATCTATACAACTCGCAAAAGAATACAAAATTTGCATATCTGATAACAGCATTATGGGATATTGTTATTATAATAATTCATATAGCTCAGCTCAATGTAACAGACTGCATAAGCAAAAATAAGGTAAAAAACTATAAAATTAGCTGTATGCCTTATCAGATACCTAACATTCTTATACTCAAAATCACAAAAGATGACTATTACATCATACCATAAATTGTACTGAAGTAATCAATACGTCGATGATAAAACCACGAGTCAGGAACATAATGACAACAAATTTATATTATGATTTTGGGAAGTTGGGTTATTTCACTGATTATTTTCATTTTCATTTTATTTCATGGTTTTGAGTGATACCTTAATAATAATTTTAGTGGGGAGTTTTTGTTTTGAAAAAACAGTTATGAGTAGAATACCTTAAGACAGGAACACCAAAGACCAAATTATTATTCGAAAACAACATAACCTAACTATTCATCTTTCAAATATGATCGAACATGAAAACATCGTCTATCTTTGTCGGATACATGCATTTGTAATACAGTTTATTAAGGCCCGTATCGTTAGTCGTCCCTACAATTATAGGGCGCCTTTATGGCCTCCTTGATTGTCATACTTTTCTACTTCTCCGTGTCAAAACTCTATTTTGAGGTTATGTGACAAACATCTATTTGCATCAAATTGTGCTTGCTTTTGAGTTATATTATGTTTTATCAGCCTGAAATTTCCTACAATTTAAAAAGAAAACATATCTTCACAATAGGAGAGCGCTGACGCTGACACGGGACAAGTGTAATCTAGAAATTTTTGAAGGAAAGAAAGGAGTATGACAATCAAGCATGCCATAAACGCGCCCTACAATTGTAGGGCGCCTCAATGGCCCCCTTGATTGTCATAGTTTTCTACTTTCCCGTGTCAGCGCTCGATTTTGAGGTTATGTCACAAATAAATATTTGCATCAAATTGTGCTTGCTTTTGAGTTATATCATGTTTTATCAGCTTGAAATTTCCGACAATTCAAAAAAAACAAATCTTCACAATAGGAGTTCGCTGACGCTGACACGGGACAGGTACAATCTAGAAATTTTTGAGGGAGAGAAAGGAGTATGACAATTAAGGAGGCCACAAAGGCGCCCTACAATTGTAGGTCGCCTTTATGGCCTCCTTGATTGTCATAGTTTTCTACTTCTCCGTGTCAGAACTCTATTTTGAGGTTATGTCACAAACATCTATTTGCATCAAATTGTGCTTGCTTTTGAGTTATATCATGTTTTATCAGCCTGAAATTTCCTACAATTTAAAAAGAAAACATATCTTCACAATAGGAGAGCGCTGACGCTGACACGGGACACGTGTAATCTAGAAATTTTTGAAGGAGAGAAAGGAGTATGACAATCAAGGAGGTCATAAACGCGCCCTACAATTGTAGGGACGACTGACGATACGGGCCTTAGACAATAAAATTCTCTTTGTCTCTGTCTAACATATCAGAAACTTCAAACAGGTTGACTGCCATGGCGGTCGTATACGACCGCCTGGTAGATTTGCCAATATGCCATGGCGGTCGTATACGACCGCTATGCACCCGATAATATGTTCGATTAATACCTGCCAGCGGTCGTAGTTAGAATGTCTTTAGATACGGTATACGACCGCTGTGGCTTACAAGGCTCGCATATAACTGCGAGTTTTGGGATCATGAAGAATTTATTGACAAAAACCGCATTTTTCATTTTAATTTATTTTTAATTGACAAATTGAAACAACTACATCAAGAAAAAAGTGTAGTACACTACAAAAACATATAATATAACTACTTTGAATGCATATTATAACATTCCAAACACAAATGAGGCTGGCCTTCACATGTACTACAATATGTTACAACCTTTTTTACGAAATTTTTGGTTATTTCTCCTCGAAGCTTTTTTGCATAGCAACCTTTACAATACTTCCTAATTTTGTCGAAATGCCCTTGTTTTTTAAGCAACTTATGAATGTGTGCTGATTTCTTCGGTAATGTTTGCATTGTTTCATTTTCATGATCGGTTTCTTCATAAGTCAAAAAGGATCTGACTATTGCTTCTCGAAACTCTGTAATTTTCATTTTTTTATCAGCAAGCTGATTGTATACTATATGAGAATTTACGAGCGCTGTCCCCAAAATAAATTCTATAGCAAGTTTACGGTACCATTTGAGAGATTTCCTCAAGGGAGAATTGTAGCTGGTCATCTGATCAGTTTGATCAATCGATGATTTTCCGTCGTTATATTCAATTACTGCCTTTGGTTTTTGAGCCATACCAGTGCGTCTCTGTACATTCACAGTGTCAGTAGTGTGCTTAGTAGTGAGAAGAAGAACGTCCCTCTTATCTCTCCACTTCAAGACGCATACACTTCTTTCGTTTTCTAGTCCAAATACTTCCCCTTTTCCTAATTTCTTTTGTGCTACTTCTTTCGGATTGCCACGACGGTTAGCTCTCAGTGTACCTACTTAATGTGTTTTATTGTCCAGTAAAATATTTGTTAGTTCGAGACTTGTATAATAGTTGTCAGCTATTATAGTTCGTCCTGAATTTAGTAGGTCCTTAGAAAGATTGATGACAATGTTAGTTGGAACAGAAGCGTTGCCGTCACTTTTTTCCTTTCCAGCATATATTCGCAGATTCCACGTATACCCATTATCACTGCATAATTTAAAGAGGTTTACTCCATATTTATGGGTTTTTTTGTGGAATATATTGCTTGAATAGCAATCGCCCTTGAAATGGGATAACAGACTCATCTATACAAAATGTCCGACCAGGAGTGCAGACCTTTTGAAAGTTTTTGATGAGCCTTTCCACTAATGGTTTCACCTTGTGAAGACGATCACCTTCTGGGCAGCTTTCATTGTCAGAGAAGTGCCACATTCTAAAAAGCAGCTGAAATCTATTTCTCGACATGGTTTTTGGTATAATAACAGTTTTTCGTCATTGCTCCAGTACTTTTCCAATGAAGGCATCTTTACCAGACCCATGTAAGCCACTACACCAATAAATCTAATCATCTCTTTTCTATCAGTCTGAGCCCATCGGTGTAGTCTTGAATCTTTTTTTATGTCATTTGTGTCACACAATACTTGAGATCCATATAAGTTAGTTTGATTTACAATCTCGTCAATAATTTCATCGTCAACGAAAGTTCGGAAACAGTTATAAGGCGATAAATTATTGATAAGTATTGCGGCATAATTTCCATGTAGACCACCCTCTGCAGTGTATTCAAATTCTTGGTGATTTCCAACTGGCTGCGTCCACGTATGGTCTAGTAGATTTTGGTCAACTTTATTGTCAGATTCCTGCATACCTTCAGTACTTAGTGGTTGAGCTTGCGCTAAGGTTTCAACTTCAAAGAATTCTTCGAATTGCTCGTTCTGTTCACATGGTATGGTTGTGGCGTTAGCGGCTTCTATTTCTTTGTATGAAACATCAGTTGAAAGTGACTTTGAACGGCATGGTTGATCCAGAAACTTAATTTTTCCTGGGTTCAATTTCTTTGAGACAGTCTTACTGGGTTGCAATTTGCGTTTAGAATTAGTTTTCTTTTGTACGGAACTTTCTGATTCTGAGAAATCTGAACTAGATAATATTTCTTCATCACTAGATGGCAAAAACGTGGGGTCAAGATCAGAGTCAATTGAACAAAATGGATCAGATTCGTCACCTGAAAACAATAAACAAATCTATCTGAAAATATCAATTTTTAGTATAAATAATAGTTATTACCTGACGTTTGGCCATCTTTTAAAGCTAGTTCAACAATTTTTCTACTTCGACTACTCATCGTTACACGTGCGCAACCAAAAGCGATCAAAACAAGACTGATATTTCTCAGCCTGACAAGTTACGACTCGTATAATACGACCGCCATCAAGACGACCGCTGGCAGCAATGATATAAATATGCCGCTTGTGCCCCGGCGGGCGTATACGACCGCTGATGTTTTTTTTGAAAATTTTTACTATTTTGATGAATTTTTTACAAAAATTTATAATTTTGTTTCTAAAACGGCATTTTTATCATCTTTATGTACTTGGCGCCTGGGTTATTTTTTCTCGTCCATGTATGGCAGTCAACGTGTTAAATATATTCACAAATCGCTGTCGTTTGTCTTTACTACAGACTAAAATGATGATGTAATCATCATCAATCGTGATTTCGACTATATTGCTAGTCTTTCATGTGATAATTACTAACATTTTAGATATCAATTAAGCTTTTTACTTTGAGCAGACAAAAAATCACAGTAAATTGCACAAAAGATGTTTTAGAAACTACCATCTTGTAAAAGAAAATAATTTTTTATGGTTGCAAAAATTGTCAAATACATTTTGTCAGCCAAAAATTCACAGAGAAACTCAAAAAAATATCCAGACAACTAATCTTCCATGCACATCATTGTAACAGGCATTAATAGTTTACCAAACAAAAAAAGGTGTTATTTACTATATAAGACTTTTGGTGCATGGAAGCAGAGTCCGTCTACTTGACTCCATTTGGTACGTCTTATCTATATTCTTAAGTTGTTATGTAAAATATGTTCTGTTTAATTTCTCTCATCATCATATATATTTTTAGGGATCTCTCTATCTCTACAGTAAATAATAAAATTTATTGATGTTCCCAATGTTCATGTCTATGATCCATGATGAAACATTCAAATACAGAGTTATAGACAATATAAACTCTCAAAACTATATCCAAGAGACCTGTACTATATCATTCTGATAATCTTTACAAAGAAACTAAAATTTCGGACATACAACGAATATAATTTTTTATATCAATGTATACTATCATAAGAACAGAAGTGAATGCAAAAAAATGTACATGAATTTTGTACAAGGCACAGTTCAATATCTAAGTATAGTCAACGCCAAACAAAGTGGCGTGCACGTCATCAAGGTGGGTGTGTTGAAAAATTTACATTGTTGCCAAACTTTTTGTAAAATAATAAAATTTATTATTTACATATCTAGGTTTATAAGCAATATTAACCTCAAATGAGAACAAAAATAATAGTATAATAAAATTATAGATCTGTACTTGCATAATCATTAAGTATGACAATTATTGATCAGATGACACTATGAAACTACCATATTTAATTGATAGCTTAAAGGTACTGAATAAAAATCCAAATGGGGTCCTCCAAATTTTATGCATGGTATTTATTTTACAGAATTCATACAGAAAAATGCATTCTAAAATTAGGTAAGCTACTGGTGTAAGCTTTTTCTGTACAATAAAGTTAGTCGGAGTTTCTTTCTTCAGCGCTGTCTGAATCTGAATCTTCATCACTCTCAAAGTTGATTATTAAAGGTTCGATGTCTGGTCGATCAAAAATTCGTTCTCTTTCATACCATTTAAAAATTTCTTGCTCAGTATGTCGAACACTATTTTTCCACATGTCTGGGGTAACCGTTTGTAGAGCCTCGTTCCACATATCCAAACAGTCTTTTTCACTGTTACCATCTCTACCAATATGTCTGTTATAGTAACCTTTTGCTATGCCCCAAATTAACTCAATAGGGTTAAATATACAATGGTAAGGAGGCAGACGAAGAACTTTGTGCCCATGTTGTTCCGCCAATTCATCAATCACGTATATTTTAGGTGGTTTGTTTCTAAAAAAGCAGTTATTTTAAGAATAGGAATAAACAAAAGAAATATAAACTGTCGACCAAAATATATATAATTAAGAAGCATTATGTACCGAGCAACAATACTCAATAGCTCTGTTTTAAACATTGTGTTTAAAAATGGTATGTTTTGATTTGTCAACCAGTCTTGGATATTTTTTTTTGTCCATGCATTGTTGGGCACTTTGTTCAATATCATGCTGTGATAAGGGGCGTTATCCAGTATAATCATAGATGGACTCTCCAATTTTTCTAATAACTGATGTTGAAACCATTTCAAAAAATTGTCCTGGTTCATCTCTCCATGGTAATCGCTCAATTTTGTTTTCGAAGAAAATATCGCTTCACTACCCTCAATAAACCCATTTTCATTTCCAGCATGTAATATAATGTATCTAAAATATATTAGTTTTAAATTTTATAGTGCAAATTGTGTAAAAGTACATACCTTTTACCATCTGTTTTAATAGCTTTCACGCTTTTTTGGTTTCCATTTTCCCAAGAGCGACCTATGGTCCCATTTTGAAATATCCAAGTTTCATCGAGGAAGACAAACTGGTATAAGGCCTCAACCTTGGCTTGATTGTATTGCCTTAGAAATTCCACCCTTTTCAAAGCTATACTTGGTAGTTCCATGAGCCCTCGTCGCGGATTGTCCTTAAGCCACTTAAATCCAAGATCTCTAAGCAACCGCCTTAAAGACGTGGCACTACCATCAAATAATGCCCTATCTCTTAATCGAGACCATAAAGTTTGTATCGTAACTTGTTCTTCTGAAACCATGTGTAATATGACATTATAATTTAGTTAACAAATTAATGCAAATTTCTGATAAGTTATTATAATAAGATCTTACTTTTGTGATACATATTATAGATCACTTCTCGAATGGCACTTGTATCCAATGTCGCTGTGTTGGTTACACGTTTAATATAACTCCGCTTTTTCTTGGGCGATTCTAAATTTGCATCACTTTTCACACCCTCGGAAATACGACTAACTGTCCTTAAACTAATTTTTAAAGCAGCAGCAACACGCTACAAAAAATGAAATAAAATTTCACTATTATTAATATACATTACATATAATTATTAGTAACCTACCTCTTGAACAGCATTTAAAGGCAACAAAGGCCCGTTGTTGTCCCTTTCTTGCTCAAAGTAGTGTATTAACGAGGCCACGAGTTCCTTACTCCGACTATTTAACTGTTTGGGCATCTTTATATACCAAAATTGCCTTTATCTACTCGTAAAATGAATAATTTTGTTTTGAAACAAACAGTTGTTGATTTACAGTATGCGGGGCCAAAGGATTTATAAAGATTTGAAATGCCACAAATTGATTCAGTGTCAAAATTAATACAAATGTCAGTTCCCAGTTTAAATAAGTTTCAAGGTGACAATGTGTCAACGCTGCGAAATCGGTTTAGTGCGTTTACATGTCGATAAGTGATTGGAGCGTTTGCAAAACATTTTATTTCGCATAATGCGTCTAAATTTATCAGAAAGCAACTTATGTGATATTTTAATAACAATGTTTATATGACTATTAACCATAATAAGAGAGTAATGACCATTTTACAATTTATATATCACATTAATATGAAACTGCAATAGAGCAATTGTTTGTGATAGAAACCTAGGCATTAGGTCGGGGAATTTTTATCGTGATGACGTGCACGCCACTTTGTTTGGCGTTGACTATATGTCTCTAAGCCACTCAAAACTATAATGCAGAGATGATATCCACATCTGGCATTCCTTCACCTATCAAACAAGTACTTAACATATTCCCTTTCAAGAAGAAATTGAGGATTTGTTAAACGACTAACCTCATATTGAAATTCATAAACAAGTCATTTCAAACAATTAATACTCTTATAAACGAACAATCATTTTGTAACTCTTCTAATAAAGATATTCTAGAAAGATATATCAAATGAAAAAAATCATTTAGGTGCAATACTAACCTCATATACAGGGCTATCCTTCTATGAGGCATGTCCTAACCTCATTTTTAACTGCATTCTGTATTATTTCAAATATTTCTTATGTATTCATACAAAGTTTTAATAATTGAAATAGGAAACCCATACACAGACCTTTTATGGGGTTTCATATTTATTTACTTTATAGGGTCATGTAAATAATAATAATAATTATTAACGGAGGCACTAATGGAAATTCAAGTCATTATAGGTTAAATTCGAGGTTAAAGGTTTTAATTATATTAGTCATTTAACATAGTTTTAATAGCATTACATAGTGATCCTAATAAACAAAAAATATCCATTTTTTTTTTGGCTACCTACTGAAGTTAGGTATGCATCTGTGAAATACAGCCTGTCATGCACTATCCGAAACTAGCTTTATTGAGATTCCAAACCTCCCCTGTCAATTCCTATGAAAAACATGCATCCATAGATCCATCATAACTCATTCATTTTTTGATATAAACAAGCAGTTTCACATACGAAAGGGGAGGCCTTAATGGAAAGGAACTTTGATTTTTTCATAAATCCTTTTTGTAAAAATGTCCAACCTGTTCCATGGGAGAGTTGTTGATGTTAAGTTAAAAATGCTCATATTTTTCGTGTAAAATGAATTGCTTCCCCGCATCCCCATATGTTTGAAAAGTAAACTGTGCAATCAATGTTTTCAACACATTGAACTGATATAGATTTTACAAGAAGGTGGAATAAATCTGTTCATATGATCTCTAAATATTGTACTATGTACTGAGTTATTTAATGTCCTACAACTTATTTCCATTATATATTTTCCACAGATACAGCAATAATGTCTCTGAGAAGATGGGAAAAGCTGGTAGAGAAGCCAGATAAGAAACCAGGGTTTATTTTCACCCTAATGTCTTACAATGTCCTGGCACAAGACCTGCTTCAGTGGCATCCTCATCTGTATAAACATCACAACCCTAAATACTTGACGTGGGAAAAGAGGTGGAGGAATCTTATGACAGAAATACAGGAGATTGATCCAGATGTGGGTTTTCCTGACAGCTGTGATAATCAGAGCAGTATACATGTTTTATTTGCAGATAATATGCCTACAGGAGGTACAGGAGTCGCATTTGAAGACCTATTACTCTTTATTGGAGTCTTTTGGTAAGTTTTAAAACAATGGCATGTTCTTAATACTAGAAGCCTAAAGAATCAGATTTATACTTTTCAATATTTCCACCAAAAATGAGTAATCAAGGATAATACAGTAATCTGCCATGTCCACTTGGATTATGTAGATTACTCATTTGTCTTTGACCCATTCTGAAGTGCTAGAATGTTTATAGAGTATCTAAAACATACATTATGTTAATACCAACACTATACAGCTCAACCTGTGTAGTTATGTCAATCAATGTATTTTAGTACAACATATGTCGTTTGCTTTGATACTTGTATTGCATAATATTAGTTGTAATCAGGATTTGAAAAAGTCATTACTTATTTTGAGAATTGATAAATTATTATACTTTTCAATCTTCCCCTATTAGGTTACCAAGGAGTGTACAAAAGACGGACTGGTCAGAGGACTGATGGCTGTGCAATATACTTTAAAACCGAGAACGTGACACTTTTAGAACATGTAACTGTAGAATTTTATCAGAAAAACGTGCCTTTATTGAACAGGGATAATGTGGGCATTGTGGCTAAGTTTGCGCCAAAGCTGCATCCTACCAGACAATTTGTGGTGGCCACTACACATTTGCTGTATAATCCTAGAAGGAGGGACGTGAGATTGGCTCAGATGCAGCTACTCCTTAGTGAAGTAGAGAGAATAAGTTTCAGGAAAGATGCCAAGTAAGTAATTCTCCTCCTTCAGGCCATGTTTGATCAGCGAGCTTCTGCTGAAAAATATATAATATTTGCCTTTATTTAATAATGTTACAATGATTCCTATAGTAAAACCGAATAGATATGATGTGAAAATCTATAAATAGTGGAATTGCAATCTTAAACGGAACATCTCATACTTTGCATTCAAAATTTTATAGCGTAAGATCCGACATAGCATAGCAGAATGAAAAAAGTACAGGTGATTCTGTAGCTGTTCCTATCTCACTTTAGTCATTGAAAGGTATTCAATTTCTGTGCCAGAAAGCCATTAAGTGTTGCAGTTCATTAGTTTGAAGAAAAATAGGAGGCAAGGCCATATAATTTCCGCTTCGACCTAGCAGAATAAAAAAATGACTATTTAGCAAATCGTCTCGGCAATATGTGCTTACAACTTTTCCTCACAAAGTGGAAAGCTTAAGAGGTATTCTCAAAAAATGGTAATTTTTAGCAAAAAAAAAACTTTTCTCTGAATATATTCAAGAGTGTGCGCACTAGTGATCTAACGAATGTAATTTTTTGAACATTAGCGAATGCGAAAGCAAATATCTGCTACAGACATTCGCGAATGCGAATATTCAGTTTTTGTTCTGGCGCCAATTGTCTATGGCAGTCTCGTTCGACCAAATGCGTTCCGTTTGTATTTTAAACTGAAGCAGAAGACACCCAAATAGATAAACTAGTATATCTGAAAGAATCAATGAATTGACTAATAGATGCGAGCGACAGTGAAGAGGAACCCTGTTCATCTATTAATCCGTAAAACTGTCACATAATAATCAACAGAAAAACGCATGGCAAATGATGTTGGTGGAAAGTGAACAAGGAAAGATACGGTACTCTGTTTCCTGTAGTTCGGCATTATTTAGTTACACCACCAGTGTCCCGAGCAAGCACATGTTTAATGGTGCTGGACTTATTTACATACCACATCGAAACAGACTTGAAGGAGACAAGGCGTCCAAGCTTTTATTTTTTAAGTTTAATATTCCTCTACTGAAGTTTAATTATTAACTTAATTATTATTTTTCAAGAGATAAGTATTTTTGTTTAAGATTTTATATATATTTTTTTTTGTTCGATTAGACTATATTTATAGTTTATTGTATAAGAATATGGTTTTGGTTTGATTATGCATTATATTTTTTAGTTTTATTAAAGATGATGATTATCTAAACAGTAAGTTAAAGACTGGTGAACGTTTCATGGCACAATTGGTTTTTGTTTGTTTCAATTGCATTTAATTTTTGCTGTACAAGTTCTAACGAGAATTTAATTTTTCAGCTTTATTAAAGTCAAATAAATAATTTTATTTTTGTATGTTTAAAAATACTGTATTTCTTTAATTATTGTTTTTAATTTTGTTCAAGAAGCTAATTATGTAACTTAAGTGAAAACTGGTAAAACTTTAATAGAAGAATTTAATTATGTATGTTTATATTGCATTATATTAGTTTGTCTTATAAGATCTATGAAAATTTATTTGTTAGGCTTCATTGTCCAAAGTAAAGTAAATAAATAATACCAAATGATTAAGTGAAGACTTACGAGGTGAAGTTACTTTATCTTGTATTAAAAAACATAAGAAATGAATGGATTTTGTTTTTATTAACCTACTATTATCTAATAATTGTATTTTTTTCTGATACTTATATTCGCAAAACATTCGCAGAAGTTTTGCGAATGCGAATATGCAAAAATATGCGATTATCCGCGAATGCGAATATTTGTTACATCACTAGTACGCACCTGAGACCATTAAGCTTTACTTTGATACCTTACATTCCATGGTTAATGGTCTGTTTCGGAATTAGTTTGTTCTATTAGTTTTTATTCTTGCGCTAAATGGATTATTTATTTTTTATTGTAACAGTATGTCAACCCATCATTTTTTTGAATGCTAACACCTAAAGAATAACCTGTACTTTTTTCATTCTGCTACATTATGTAAATGGAATTCATAACTCAATGTACCGTAACCTAAGCAATGTAATTACTATTATAAACACATACAATTTCATTTAGGTGTCTATAGTTTGAAGTACGATAAGTATTTCCATCACAAAATTGTAAACAATAAATGAAATTATGAAACATAATATGGTTGAAACATTTTCTCAGTGTTTTGAGAAATTATTTTATCACTTTCTACTCATTATTTCAGAGATGTTGAATCTACATACTTGCCAATATTTATAACTGGCGATTTCAATACCCCGCCAAAATCAGACCTTTACAATTTTATGGTTGAAGGCAAGCTTAGGTATGACAATATGCCTCCAGGCTTAATTAATAATGAATCAAAAGTTTTAGTGACCAGCAGTTTGGGAATTACTGGTAAGTATTCACTATTCATAAACAGGGAAGGGTTTCTTGAGGCCTGCTTAAATGAATTTGTTTATTTTTTTTAAGTGTGTACGAGTATATATGATTGACATTCCATGATAAGTTTCTTGATATAAGATTTTTTTTAATGAAATTTCATACATACATACGGAAATTCTATGTGAACGTCGATATACAGCATATGATTGGGCATTCTGGAGAATATAATGTAATCATTGTTACCACTTGCTATTTCCAGATACTTGTCAACATGCAGATCTGCTCAGCAGTAGGCAAAATAACAAAGACTTCTTTAATTCCGAGGTGGACGTTAAGAAAGATCCTGTAGATCATTTTAAAAATGTAAAATTATTCAAAACTGGAAAGCTATCTCATCATTTTTCGCTTAAGTCAGTGTATGACCATGGAGGTCCACAACTCAATGAAGCGACTACACATCAAGACGAATGGATAACAGTAGATTATATATTTTACAGGTAATTCTTTGAAGCCACCACATTATTACTATTTTTAACGTAGACATTTTACCGCGGCACCCGTTATTGCTAAATAAAAAGTAGAGGGAAAAATAGGATTGACCGTTTTAACCAAGTGCATACCCTGAATTCCAGTTAGATAGGTGCGTGCGTCTTCAAACAAGGTATCAGTCTGCCTCTAGGGTGGCAATAAACCCGTGTAACACCAAAAATTCAGTGTTTTGTGTAATGTTATTAGTTTGGAGGAGGAATTCTGCCTGTAGTCGAGGCCCGTAGCCACTGTGAATTGCGAGTTCAAAATCGCGGTCATGAAGCCGAGCCAGAGCATCGTAGTATTCATTATCTAAACGTCATATTGTGTCCTGGCAATAACCGGCAGGGGTATTACGTATCTTGAAAAGTGACATTGTCTGCTTTTTTCACATTATATAGTTTTTTGTGACATTGTGTAGGTTTTTCTACAAGATATCAACTTAGAACTAGTTGTTGTTCACTAGATGTGCACACGTTCTGTAGGTGTACGTGTTGCCTACCAATATTAGACGTGATACAACACCACCTGCTTCAGAGATGGCATTATTGGAGGTGTAAGCTGGAAGGAAACAGCACTGCATAGATGCATAGTGAGGATTTGTGTGCTAATAACCTGTGTTGATGGTAATTCCATTGGTTTCTTGTCTCAAATACACTTACTCAAGATGTATGTAAAGCGAGAAATTAGTTGTGTATCCACTTATCCACCCTGGAAATTGCATATGCAAATTAAATAATTATTATTGTAAGAAAAGAAAATCTCTGGTTAGTAAAGAATATTCCAACAGGTGAGAAAATATGGTACAGACAGGAATATTTGTGAAACGTGAAAATGTTATTTGATTTTACATTATATTTATTTCCAGTAATTAAAATTGTATAGAAATTTATTTTGCGAAGACAAGTAGGAAATAGAAATCAGTGCCTAGATGTTATAACTCCTTCGGATTTTGCTTAAATTGCTCCAAACACTGCTTCGAAGTTAACAACCGCATGCGCTTGTTGTTCACCGTGAGCAATCGGGGCACCCATCGGGCCGACAATTTATTCATCTCCAACTTATCATGTAAAATATTCATTGCCGTTCCGGTCGACACCTACGGCCTCTGTTACTTCGCGCACTTTCGTTCGTCGATCAGCGAGAATCATGTCGTGGACTTTTTGAATGATTTCCTCGGTAACCACGTCTGCCAGGCTGTTCGATCCTTAACAAACACGGATGTTCGCCCACGTTTAAATTCGTTAAACCAATATCTAACTGTGGTCATAGATGGCGCGAAGTGTCCTCATCCAGCATCCAACTTTGCTTTTATCTTCTCGCATTTGTTCCCATCCAAAAACAAAAAGCGAATTACCGAACGATACTGCTGTTTTTCCATCTTCGTGAAAATCACGAAACACGTGTTCTCGAATGGCTTCCAAATCCAAACTAATTTATCAATCAGTATGAAATTGTTGTGCCGACGTTTGATAGATGGCAGCACACGATGATACAACCAACTTCCCTGAGGAAGCCCTCTATCGTCAAACATGGGTACTTATTGATCAAGCCTCGTATTCAGTAATAATTTTCTCACATAGCAAATCTCAGTGGTTTTATACACATGCAGACCAATACACAATGAGATGCGAACATACTTCCACATCTCAGCGACTATCTCAGTATTCTGTAAGCATGCTGGGGAAGTGACTTGCAGCGTGGTTATTGAGCGTGTCGTTGAGTTATTCCTCCATAGATGGCGCTTTTGGTGCGCTCATAGGGAGCAAACGCGGAATGAACTATTTGCACGCTAGGAACTATCTAGTCAGCAAGCTGACATTTTGTAGTTTTTTTTTTAGCTTGCTATATTAACTACTACACTTGCTCTTTTTATTCGCTCCAACACAGACACGAAATATTGGTAAAGACCACACATAAAAATATCAACCAAGGATCACCGGGAAGATTAACGAAATATATATCGCCACACCTGTTTGCAGCTGCAGATCCCACACGGAAGAGATTGCACAAAATTAATTCTGGAAATACTTTTTTGACTTCTAATGTCAAAAATTAGGTCAAGCTAAAGAAGGTTTTTAGGAGATTCCTGAATTTTTAATGTGAATATGGAGGAAAACTCTAAAAAGGATGGAGCTAGTGAGGAAGTGGAGAGTGTGGTCTCACTGAGTGAAAAAATTAATAAAAGAATTGTACGAAAAGATAGACCAATTAAACAAAAAAAAATGGGAAAATGCAACAGCCGTCACAAGAAGCAATTACAACTTACGCTAATATGGTTAAAGCTTCAGGGCCTTCAACCGTTAATTCGCCTACAAAAATGGTAGAATATAAGCAACAATGCGTACCATTACAAACATGTACAGCAAAAAAACAATCACCAGTATTAAAACCCACAAATACAGTCATTGTTAAGCCTAATAACCAACAAGAGTGTAATAACACAAAGAAAGACATCGCAAAATTTGTGAATCCTACCAGTTTGAAAATTGCTATTGAAAAAGTTTATGAATTGAAAGATGGTGGGGTGAAAATCCAATGTAAAACAAAAGATGATAACGCGAAGCTACATAATGAAATAAAATCAAAAATGCCAGAAACATATACAGTGAAAACTTCAGAGATAAGTAAAAAACCACAAAACAAAGTTATTGGATTTTGTCAAGAATATGCAGAAGACGAGCTAATAAATACTATAAAATCACAAAATGAATCTTCTCAAGAAAATTCACATATGAGAGTAATTACAGTCAAGAAAATGAAAACTAAATATCAAGCAATTTTAGAAGTGGATGCTGTGACTTTTAAGTGTGTTATGAATCAGGGTGTTATTTTTATCGACATGTCTGTTTGCTCTGTTTTCGAGTACATCAATGTTTTGCGATGCTATAAATGTACCGGATTTAACCACACAGCTAAATACTGCACAAAATCAGGAAGATGTCTTACTTGTGGATTAGAAGGACATTCAACAGAAAACTGTAGTACCAGTGAAATGTACAAATGCTGTCCAAATTGTAAAAGTGCAAACCAAGATTTTAATCTAGGATTACCTATTAATCATGGACCATTTGACAAAAATTGTGAAGTATATAAAAGGAAAATTGAACGTGAGATTATGCATTATGCAAATGAATAGCAACTACTAAGCTCAGATTTGCAAGACGTGGCTAAATCTATAAGTGATGAATATAACTCAATATACCATTTAAACATACAAGGAGTCCTGAATAATATATATGAAGTTCAACAGTTTTTAAAATGGAGAAAACCACTTGTATTATGTCTTACCGAAACACATGCTACAGAAGACATCACTGATGGTGAATTACAAATTACTAATTATAAAACCTACAGATGCAACTCCAACTCCAGACATACTGGAGGTGTAGTGATTTATGTTTACCACAAAATACAGATCACATTATTCGATTGTACCACTTTAGACTATGCATACTGGTATGCACATATACAGTTCAAATTATTTGGGAAACGTTATGATCTTTGTACTTTTTACCGTTCACCAAACAGTGATGCAGATACATTTTTAACGTTTTTTGAAGAAAAATGCGAAGAAATGTGGAATTTTAGAAACAATATAATACTTTTAGGTGATTTTAATTTAAATTATTATGGTAAAAGCATGAAAACAAGAAAATTGAAAGAAACCATAAACAACTATGGGTTCAAGCAAAAAATTGAAGAGAGTACCAGAATAACATCATTATCAGAGACTTTGTTAGATCTTGTTATTGTAAATTTCGAATGTGCAGGGATTAAAGCTGTACATACACCTAAAGTTGGCGATCACAGTTGGACATTGCTGCCCTTGGTAGGGCATTTTTCTGATACAAAAATTAAGAAAATCGTAAATACTATTAAGTACGAAAAACTTGAACGAGAACTTGCTGGCTGCTATTGGAATTTTGGTGACAATATGGAAAAAATATATGACAACATAATAGGAAATATAAAAACTTGTTTAGATCTTGCAACTGATAAAAAACTGATTTGCTCGACAAAAAATACACCCTGGTATAACAAGAATATTAAGGTAGCTCAAAATTTGAGAGACAAACAATACAATAAATGTATATTCACAAAATCAAATGATGATTGGGAGGTATATAAAACTCTTAGGAATAAATGTGTATATGTAATTAGAGAAGAAAAAAGAAAATTCTACGATAAACAAATCGATAATAACAAGTGCGACAGTGTAAAGATGTGGAAGACTTTAAAAAGACTGATCAATTCGAAGCCGCATGATTGTGTAAATCAAGTTCAATTCGAAAACGGTACCGAAACAAATTCTTTGGTGATTGCAAACAAACTAAATGAATATTTTGTGGAAAGTATTGTTGATATTGTAGGTACTGCCAATGCTGCACCTGACTATATGAAAATCAGTTTCCAGGGGGAAATGTTGCATACACTTTCAAAATTTCACAGCGTATCATTGAATTATCTAAGAAAAAAAGTAAACAGTTTAAAATCAAATAACAACTGTGCCGAAATGATTACTAAAAACGTGCTGAAAAACTGTTTCGAAATTTTGGGATATCCTGTATTAAATTGGATCAATTGTTCACTGAAAAGCAGTTCTTTTCCTGAAAATTTGAAATGCTCTACAATAACACCAGTTCCCAAAATAAAAAATTCTAAAAGATGCAGCGATATGAGACCAGTAAATGTGTTACCAGACATTGAAAAATTATTAGAGTCCATAGTGCATGACCAATTAATGCAGTTTATAGAAGAAAACAAAATTTTAGTGGAGGCGCAAGCAGGCTTTCGAAATAAATATTCCACAGAAACAGCTTTCCAGTTGGTAACTGAGAATTGGAGAAGAGCCATAGACATAGAAGTTGTCATAGCAGTATTTTTGGATTTGAAGAGGGCATTTGTAACGATTGATAGAGATATTTTGTTAGGTAAATTGAAGGCATATGGTATAACAGGAAGTGTTTTAGATTGGTTTAGAAATTATTTGTCTAAAAGGATGCAAGTTACAAAAGTTAATGACACTATTTCATCAAAAATTGAAAATACGTTGGGTGTTCCACAGGGCAGTATCCTGGGACCACTTCTTTTTATTTTATACATAAATGATTTACCTGCCATAGTCAAAAAATGCAAAATTCAAATTTTCGCCGATGACACTATGATTTATATAAGTACTAAAAATATTCAGTCTGGTATCTCTTATATAAATGAAGACTTGAAGCTTGTCTCAAAATGGTTAGCATCTAACAGACTAAAATTAAATGCAAGTAAAACGAAAGCCTTGTTAATCGGAAAAAAACAATGTACAAATGTTCAACTGAATATTGATGGTGAAGATATTGAATTCGTAGAAAATTTTAAATACCTGGGAGTTTTTGTTGACTCTCGATTAATTTTTGATATTCATTATGAAAAAGTTATAAATAAGATTAGTAGTAAAGTGGGATATTTATCGAGAGTTTCTGGATGTCTGAGTTCATATAGCAGAAAAATTATCTATAATACCATCATTCTTCCAAATTTCTTGTACTGTTCGACTATTCTATATTTAGCAAATAATTCCATTTTTGAAAGACTGCAAATTTTACAAAATAAGTGCATGAGAATAATACTAAATAAAGATAAATATACTCCAATTAGGCAAATGCTTAGCAAATTAAAATGGCTCAATGTAAAAATTTTTATCAAATATCTTGTAATGATATTCATTTATAAAGTAAAAAATAATATATTTCCATCAAGTCTAACTAATTTAACATCATCAAATGTCGACCATCATTTACATAATACCAGAAATAAAGATGACTTCCATTTAATGACCAAAAAGTATAACATATGCTACAAATCTGTATTCCATCAAGGGTTGATTGAATATAATAAATTATACTCGGAGATAAAAGACCAGAAAACTTTGACAAAATTTAAAGTAAAATTGAGAAATCACTTGTTAAATCTACAATTATAGGTTGCCCAGCATTTACATCATACACCATATGGCTTGAATTTACTAGTTCTAAGTTGTTTACAATTGTTCTGTTTATGTAGCCAAATGTGCTAAATAAATCTTTCTACTACTACTACTACATATAGGTTTTTTACGTAATAACCCTGCCGTACAGCACGTTAAAAGCAAGACGCTGAACTGTCAAAACAGAGCATTACAAACACCGTGTATTGAGCGCTCAAAAATGCGTTAAAAGCTCCACACTTCAGGTTTGTATAACATGTAATTAAGCAAATATGTATATCATTTGCATTGGTTTGGATGTGTTGTGATGATAGAAATATACATAGTACATTGCAGTTATTTTGATGGAATTTTTAACTCTGAACTTGTTTTTCGATACAAGAACGATATTGTGATGGAGACAAGCACGCATCAAGTTTCCGAATTTGAGTTACTTTATCAAAGTTTTTTTTTTAACCTTGTGGCAGAAAATCAGTATTAGATCTTTGTCTGATATTTTGTAATCAGAGTAATCAGACCCGACAAATTAACAAGCAGTCAAGACTTTCTACTGATCCTATAGATGCATCAACTTTAATGAGTAATTTTTTTCATTCAGCGAGCATCCTATATTTGTCATTTTATTTCAGCACCAAAGGAAAATATACAGATGATAGACTGCAATTACTCACCAGATGTAGGTTACCTACTAAAGAAGAGTTAGGCAACATAACGATTCCAAACCAAACTCTAGGTTCTGATCATTTATCGCTTGCCGCAAAGTTCAAATTGCTCTTTTGACTAGAACATTGTAAACTGTGAATAACCTTGTTTTTTCATCAAAGATATATTTTGTGAATAAATTTTCCTGAAATCTGCTTGGGAGATTTTATTTATAGATTACTTGCGCCATAATGTACCCCCAATAGTGCACTTGTCAGTGTTGCCGAACCGAAAAGACGCAATCGGTAGATAGTCATTAGAATTCAGTAGACTCTAGGCAAAATCGGTTGGAGAAAAAAACCAGGACCGTCTCAAGATCAGCAGTGGATCAAGTGCCTTTGCGTCACACAGCGCCGTCTATAAAAGAAGCATATTTTTGTTTTGTGCGTGCCATCACAACTAAACACAATTTTTTGAGAGCATCTTTTCCTGGAAAAATACTCATTTATTAAAGCATTTACAATGAGCATACTGGTTTCCTCTTCAAACTGCTTTGGAACAATCCTGGCAACTCATTTCTTTTATTCTTGTTAATAAGTTGTGAATATTTTTCCGTTTTACCCCTGAACTTGAAACCTGATCTCCTATTTTAATTTAATTTTGAATTATTAAAAACAAACGAACTTGTGGGGCCTCGGTTGGCCGCGTTGGTCAGAGTGTCGTGCTACTGATCAGCCGGCCGGTCGGGCCGCGAGTTCGAATCTCGACTTCGCCATGGATGTCGTGTGTTTGTCCATAATTAGAGAAATTAAGTAACACACATCTGTGGCAAATGGATAACTTCCAATGCCAATTATATGTTAAAAAAAAAACGAACTTGTCCAGTGATGATGGTGATTTACCAAACAAAAACCAATACAGGGAACGCGGAGTCAAGGGCGGATTCAGGACTTCGTCTAGGGAGGCGCAAACGATATTTAGGGCTGGTCATTTTTTAAACTCGGTGGACCTTCTAGAATTTATCCTATTATTGCTCCTTAAATCCATTGTGTTCTATCTGGTCAAGGTCAGCTTGAAAAGAAAAACATGGAAAATGCTCAGAAATCTTCAGGAAGCCAATATTTTATTATATGAGAACAAAATAAGTACGTGGCATTTATAATCAACTAGTGTAATAATATTAAAGATTCAAACAAAAAAAACTTCATTGTTCTGTTAACCGAAAAAAAATAAATTAAACATTGTGAGGGACCCTGAGTCATATCCCAGTCAATTCCACACAAAACAATGTCTGATTGCGAAAACGAACATGAGACCAAAAAATTCACATTATCGTAAGGACACTAGACAAGACGAAGAAGGATGTCTATAGATCATCTATAGATCGTGTCTTGAGACCGTCTCCAGACTGCCTGTAGACAAATTGCGCAACGGGGTCTACTAGTATGTTATTATATGTTAAGGATTAAGTCTCTGAACTGCCCATTAAACAAATCAAGTAAATGGTGCACATACTGACACAATCAAGCACTTCTATTATATCAGCAGGTGATAAAAATATCAATAGGTATGGCCAATTATTTTTTTATATATCGAAGCAGCCGCGCAGAAGCCTAAATGCTGGAACACCACGGCTGCTATGATGATCTCCCAAAGAAATTTTGTTAACCCGAGGTTAGTAGAACTGGGAAAAGCTTCCTCTTCTCTCTTCTTCTGAATGTTACATCCCGCATAGTGTAGGGAACCCTTTGAATTTACGGCACTTGGGCGCTGGGGGGAACGTCCGTGGTGGAATTAGCAGCAAAGATCTTGGCAAGCACTTTCACCATGGCCTTCGAGTCCTATACAATCGTTCCATCCTGACACGTAAGTGGTGGAAGGCTACTGTGTGTGAAGTTCTTTTCAATCTGCTTGGCCAGCGTCTCTAAAGACCGACTGCCATTGCGCTGTGACATTACCCTGTGCCTAACCCTTATATCGTGCAGGTTTTTGGCATTGCAAACAGCTTCGATATATTTGTTGTTTCTCGACGGCGGCTTGTGTGTTCTCTACATTGGGGTTTTCTAAGAAGGTTCTGTGTGCCTTGAACTTCTGCTGGCGAGCAGTGTCACTCGATTTGTTACACCGGCCGTTGCATCCTGGTTTAGGCACTTTCACTGTATAAGGGATGTATTCCGACGTGGATAATTTCGGTTATCAAACAACAGACAGCCGACGCATCCGCATCAGTGAAACAGACATTTCTCCAAGAAAAGGTAGAAAAGAAGTCTCTGAGCTCCTCCCAGTTGGCATGACCGTAATGCCAAATGTTTCGGCTTGTGCGAGTTTCTGCTGCCACAGCGGGTTCTGACCGAAACCTAACCTCCACGATACAGTGGTCTGAGTTACCCAGGGGGGACAGGACAGCAGTGCTGTAAGGGACAGGATGAGTCGTCAGAAAGAGATCCAGCAGGCTACTGGCATGTGACGAGACGCGGGGGAAGAAAGTAGGGCCCGTCACCAGCTGGGTCAACCCTTGAGTAAGAGCGAACGCTTCAACTGCACGACCTGCTGCATCGGTCTTGTTTGAGCCCAACCAAAGCAAATTATGGTCATTAAAATCACCGAGGAGAACTACCTCTGAAGCGGGTTGATTGATGTTCAGGAACTCGATCTTGGCGGCGAGGTATTCAAGAAGGTCATCCCAGTTATGGTCTGAGGGAGAGCGACAAAGGCAGCAAATAAATTTGGGGGATGTTTTGGAGTTGAGGCGAAGCCACAGAATGTCCTTCCTGTCTGATTCCAGAGAAACATCTCTGCAGCAGGAAAGACTGCTGCGGACAAAAGCCACAGCTCCTCCGTTCTTTCTCAGATTGGAGTGCACCTCGTAATGTGGGAAGCTAAGATGGTTAATCGGCCCGTTGGCGGACTTGTACCGCCACCCGAAAATTAGTACTGAGGTATTCCTCAACGCGTGTACAATCCCTTGAACGGGAAGAAGTTGTATGCTGGATACAACTTTCGGGACAAGCATTTGCCACAGCCCCGCTCGGTAGGAGTTGAGGTTTTTGAAATTCAATATATATGTTACAGTTATTTTTCAGACTTTCATTGTCCAACTTAGATTTACGGCATAGTTGTTGTTTTCTCAGTGTTCGAACCGGTGTTGATCACATGTAAAAATGATGGAAATGCTTGGAAAAAACTATATCTGTTAGACCGTAATTATTTTGATAATATATGTTTGTACGAAACAAGTTCAGGAATACAGGGCTGTACATATTCACGTATAGTGCAGCAGCTCTGTGATTTAAGCGAATTCAATATAGCAACATAAATAGACTCATACGCGAGAAGAGATGCGGGTCGTGTGGTATTGACTTTGAGCATCGATCGACGCAGTTTCTGGACAGGCCACAGGCGCACCGCTAAACAAATCTCATAAATGTCTATTTCCAATTTAGGCGTTCATCTAACATGCTTCGCTGCAACACCAACCCTGAACAAAATCAGTCAGACTTTACACACTTTTCAAATTACTATTGAGCAACAAACAGAATATAAATCGCTTTTTACGTGCAATCTGTATAGCTAATATATTACCCAGACTTAGATTTGTCACACGTCACAATACTCGTATATACGTATAAATATGCCTCTTTGGCCATGATGTGTCAGAAAGTAACGCAATGGTGTTAGATTACAAAAGCAAGTGTTAGACCTCTAAATCCGCCACTGCGCGGAGTAGAGGATGTGCGTACATAATTATTATAGGCGAACCTACCGATTTTCAGCGGAAATATGGTAAGTTCAGTAGAGCTTTGGTCCCACCACCGGGTCTCACTCTTTAACAACTTGAAACAAAAAAAAATATTTAAATGCTTTATAAACTGATTGGTTCGTATTATCCTTAGTACTTTTAGTTTTTGATTATCACTGTTCTGCACGAAAATCCTCTCCGCCAAACAAATACGTTATTTCGATAATTTCTGCTTATTTAACCCTTACACCGACCTTCAAATTGTCGTATCACGTAACGGAGTCCAGAGAGTACCAACATGTTTTAACAGGTTGACTGCCATGAAAAATCGTAGTAAATGTCTCTGGTGCCAACTTCAAAAAAGTGAAGCTTCTTGCATCAGATGCTATGCTAAGTAAATACGTTTATTTATATTTTTTTATTAGGATACATATTGGCAAAAATAAGTCAGCGCTCGAATACGCCCCCGTGGCATAACTGACATTATCATTCCCATAGTGCCAAGCGGTCGACCTAGTCTTTTGCGAGTTGGAACTTGTGAACTTCGGGTCAGAAACATGAAATAAAAATGCTTTGCAATTAGGTTAGTTTGTTTTTGTGGATCGTAACGTTCAGTGGAATTCGAAAATAACAGAATTCCGGGACAAACGGGTATTATCACTTCTGAATTACGATAACACCAATCTACCGGAATCCCGACTACAGCAGACCTCAATAGGCTCAAAAAGACATAATTTTATATCGAAGAAAATAGCCGCCTTCGATAAAGTGAAAGAATACTGCAGAGATTGCTATGCTAAAAAAGTGCAAGGAGAAATTCCAAAGAGCAGGGTGAAAAAAGTCGTTACCTAATATGCATCATGCGAAGGGGAACCTCACTTTTGTTTAGACTGTTTCACCCTACACTTATTAAAATAATATCCAGTCGCTTTATGTAAATCGGGATATTCAATAGCCTTGTTTTGTACTACATTCCCCGGGGTTCCACCTTGCATATGTTGTTTTATATATATTTTTCATTTAAAGTTAAAAAATGACCTCAGACATATTTTTCACTTTCCCTTGTAAGCTACACCGAAAACCGCTAACTTAAACTAGGCGTGCATGCCACAGCAGTCTTTTGCCATAATAATTATATGCCTATCAACGACCGCTGACACAGCATAACTGAATTTTGAAGGTAAGTGTGGAGCGGTAGCATTCGACCGCCATGGCAAGGTGGGATTATTTGCAGGCGGTCGTATACGTTGCCAAGTCTACGTTTTCTCTCTAGTCGAAGGAAGTATGTACATCAGGCGACACCGCATGGGGGTATCTGGGAATGTCCCTTATCTACGAAGTCTCAGCCACATAGGGCTTCAGATAAAGGAGATATCCATTGAACCCCATCTAATTCCAGATTTCACCGTACCCTATAGTCGTCGGATAGGTACTTATCGAATGGCCCCTGAATACAAAAATCGTTTCAGATCTCTT